CCTGCGACACATCCTGCGCTGTGAGAGGCACGACCCTCACCACAACCGGAGTCGCCCACGCGCCGTCGGTACGCACGGCATCGAAAATAAAAAAGCAGGGATGCGTCAGGGTGACAGCAAAGCATCCGCTAGCAATCACTTCGCACGCATCACCACAAGCAGCACCAGCAGCGCTGCAAGCCACGGGTTAACGTGGACCAACTGACGCATGGCGTATGTCGAAGGAAAAACGTGGTGGCCTCAGAAGGACAAAAGAGGCTGACACTTCAAAACAAAACAAAACGATATGGGAATAACAAAAAAAGATTAAATTGTCCGCGGTCAAAGCATGCCGCCAATCAAATAAAAGTGGAATGGGTGAACCCAACCACAATAAGACAAAACAAGCAATAAAAGAAAAAACAAGAAGCCGAAGCGTGGGACGACCAGCGCACACACTCATTGCTCCCGTAAAGCAAAACACACACACAGGGAGAGAGAGAGAGAGAGAGAGGTTGCCCACTCAATGCAATAGAAACAAAACAGAAACAGTTACGGTGCTCCGCCCATGCAGCCAGGCAGGACGGCAGCGGTGCGTGTGCTGCAAAAGAGAGCACCAACGGGCCTGCATGGGTGTGCAAGCATATATACAATGGGCACATTATGTGTGTGCTTCGTGGGGTGAGGTGAGGGCGAGAGTCCATGCAAGGGGACACACACACAGAGAGTGAGAGAAGGACGAGTGTGTGTGCGGGCGGTGCACGGCTCTCTCTCCCTCACTCTCACGCGGCCACCACCGCAGCAGCGGCCGCACACGCAACAACAAGAAGAAGAAGCAAAAGAGGGGAGGTGGTGTGGGAGACCGCGGTGCTGCCGTCACTGTCGCCAGTTGGCGCCGTATCTTTTTTTTCAGTGCTGTTGACTGCTTCTTGTGCTGCTTCACTGGCTGTAGGACCGACGTTGGTATTATCAGCTTCGAGTTCGTCGTGGGTTCTTTTGGGATCATGCCGTTCAGGATCGTCACCATTCTCATTCGCCTTTCCCTGAGCATCACCATTGCCATATGTAGGGATGGATGAGGCTGCTGTATATGCTGGATGGCCGGTATTTGCACTCTTTACCAAATCTGCTTTGTCTCTCTCTTGACTGTGTTGCTCTGCCGCATCATCCTTCGAAGACGTTTTAGTTGCTTCAGAGTCCGTTTCGGTTCCTGACGCTGCCGTATTGTCATTTTTCCCTGTTGGATTCTCTGAGTCTTTCGGTGTTGCTGTTATTGTTGGAGTTTTTCCCGTTGATGGTACTGACGGTGTTGTTTTTCCTGTGGGTTTGCTATTGGCGGTCGACACGCTGGAGGAGTCTTTGCTATTTACGTCACTCTCCCCTGCGTCGCCTCCACTTGCACCCTTACCACGAGCTTCAACACTTATTTCTCCTTGTGTATTAGGAGTGTTTTCATTTTGGTCGGGTTCTAACGCCTCCGGAGTCTGCACCGTGGGCAGTGCGGGCACATTAAGCGTTTTTTTTGACGGTTCATCTGTTCCTGAAGAATTATTCTTCTGAGTGACTGAACTATCGCCGGTGTTCTTCAAACCACCACCAGCACTGGGAATAGGGGACGAGGATTTATCATCGGGAACAGGAACCTTCAAAGTGGAATCCTCACCTCCGTTAGAAATTCCACTTGAGCCACCACCGCCACCACCGCCACCACCAGTTTGACTGCCAGCACCAAGTTCACTGCGACCAATACCATCAGAATCACTGGCATCAGGAGGTGGTGGTGTTTCTGGCGCTGGTGGCAGTGCCGGAGGTTGTGGAATTGAATCTAAGTTCAAATTATCCCTTTCCTCAGAAATATCTTTTACGTCCTTCGCTTCGGCTTGTATCGCATTAATGAAGAACGCTGATCGCAATGGCCGCGTGAGCACAGTTTTATTGCAACCCCTCACCAAATACGACGTTTTCGCACCCAACCCGCCTGACGCCATGCAGCCACCCTGTGCGTTGTTGGGAGTATCCCTCGCATAAACACCGCCGGCACCGCACCACAGCACGCAGAGGGCACACACCAGCAGCACACGGCCAGTCATCATCATCGCCATCACTCCTGTCAATTGCGTGCAGCCTTCAGCACAGAATAACACCCCGTCAATAGAGAGAAAAAGCAAAGGGTAAGAGACAATTCACTCAACCACGCAACAATCACCGCAAAGTAACAACTGGCAGCACCCCAGCAGCAGCAGCGCACACACTACTAGGCACGTGAAATCACTACGATTCCAGAACCTGCGCACCGAACTAAAAACCAGAAGTTAAAAGAAAAGAAATGCCACAGCCAAGATTCCGCTGAGCATGCATGTGAGTGTGTCTGGGATGCGTTCAACGTGACGGATGTGGGAAGCGACACGGAGCACACAGCAGGGCAGCGGAAGCAAACAAAGCAAAAAACGATCATCATAATTACTCTTACTTCATACATCGGACCACAGTAGACGTACACATGTCCCCGTGGCTGAGTGCTGGCACGCACAGCCCACGCTCCCTTTTAGCCCAGAGTGGTGTACGCCAGCGCGGATGCGGCGAGCAGCAGCGGGGCACACACCCACGCAGAGCTGCTGAGGCTGCCGTCGATTTCGCGAAGACGTGACGGTGCGCGGGTGGTCGTCGTAATTGGCGCCTCCGTATTTGGCACTTTTTTTTTCTGACGTGATGTCTGTGCCGTATGATTCTCAGCACCTTGTGGATATTCCTCCGCCTATTTATTTTGTGCATCTGACTTACCGGTCGCACCTTATGTGTGTCGAGACTGCGCTGCCAAACCTGGTGACTCTGGATTATCGTTAGCAAAACTTAGTGGCTGTGGCGCACCCGGTGTGTGTCCAGTAATGGCTGTACCTGCTTCCTTTGGCAAAGAAGGTCCTTGACTTCCTAAAACTTCCTCACCGTTTCTCCTACTCTCTGTCTGTGGCCTGACAGTTTCTCCAACCTCTGGCTGTAATGAATCAAGCGCATTTCCTGTAAAATCTGATTTCCCCAACTTAGGGTTGAGATGACTGCTGTCATCATTATTATCACCTCCTCACGCCGTCACCCGCACACGGAATTGCAGCAGCAGTACGAGAGCGCAGGGAACTGCACGGTGCACACTACACGGAGCCGCACCGTCACCATCGTCATCATCGCAGTCATCATCAACCGTAGTGGAGTCGCTGCAGTCAGTGAGCCGATCCGTGAGCCAGAAGGAAAAGGAATGGAACAGGAGGGAGAGGGACGGAGTGCAGCGGATACAGCGAGAGAGAGCAGACAACATGAGGAGAGGGCAGCAGGCCCAGCCGCACAGTTCACACACCACGAGACGGCTTCCACGCAACGAAGGCACACAACGCCAGCAGCCACCCACCATGCAGGAGGAGAAGACATCCACCACCATCTCCCCCAGCTCATCTCTACAGCCCCAGGGAAATGGCAAAAACCCGCGGCCACCACACAACGCACACGGAGCGAGCAAACCCTCACACCAGCCACACGCGCAAGCAAACTCTCATCCATCCATGACGCGGCACAAAAATTTCCTGCCATCCCGCCCTCAATGGGAAACGGAGCCCAACTCAACGCAGCCACACGCGGTGCACCACACCCGCAGGAAAAGAGACTCGGGCTGCGCACTCCCTCTCCTCCCTTCGCCTCATGGCCACGGAAGAAGACAACAGCCGCCACACACAACTGCCAGCATGCACTGCAAAAGGAGCATTCAAATCCACTGCAATGTGCATCTTGTGTGTGTGGTTGTGTGTGCCTGCGGAAACACAAAGCAAAGAAGTAGAAAAGAGGGAGCAGAGTATTTGGAGAGACGCACAACAAAAAACTGTACAGCAGAGACGCATGGCGGAAACAACAAGAAGAGGACCGCTCAAACTCATGACCGCACTGCAGCCCAAGCAGCGGCAACCCACACAAGATTTATTTAAAACAAAAAGAAAACGTTCCCCTTCGTCTTATATAAACCCCATCACACAAAATAATTATAAATGAAAAAGAAATCGTCCATTACTGTTCCACACAAATTTAAGAATCGCCTGGCTGCCGTGTCGCCACACCAAACTGTCTGTATATATTTTGCCCACAAGAGAAAATTGAAAAGATGGTTGCGTGTGTTTCAACCGTCTGACCCTCCATGTGTCCGCACATCGTTTATATTTCATGGGGTCATCTGCGTGTTGGTGCTCCCCTCAGCCCTCTCATCGGCGTGCGAGTGCGGCCCGCAGAGCACAGTCACTCGTGTGTGTGGGGACTGAGAGAAGCACGCAGACACGACGGGAGTCGCGTCACTCCATCGGGAGAGTGAGCGCAGCAAAAGAAAAAAATCATCAGGAGGGAGAGAAATGCTGACGGGACTGCCAGCGCGTGAAATGAACACGAAAAGCAAAAAGAAAAACACGGCGGCAGGGTGTGGCTGTGTGTGCGTGGCGCTGCGGGTGTCTGCCCGCCCTGGCCGCAAAGAAAACAAAACAAGAGGGAAAGAAATGTGTGCTCCGCCCCACAGGCCCTCGTCGCACGCCCACACGTCACGGCTCCCTCAGCGCGCCGTTCGTCGCGGCCCCTCCTCATGCGTGCAGCAGGCGAGGCGCACAGGGCCGTCGTCATGAGCGTGTCGGTGGGTGTGCGAGTGGAGCAGTTGGGCGGGAAACACACGGCACCCCTCACAGGAAGAGTGCAGAAGAAACAATTAAAGAAGGAAGAGCAGAAAAGAAAAAAAACGTCCATAGTGATTGCCCCCAAAAGCAAAAAGGAAAAGAGGGATGAGGGATGAAAAAACAAAAACAGAAAAAAACAAAAGAATTTAGTAAAAAAGCAAAACTAAAATTAAAACATTAAAAAAATAATTAAAAACGCAAAAAAAACTTAACGCACATAAAGCAAAAAAAGCAAATAAAAGTTATTTGGGAAGAGAAATTCATTGCCACGTGTATGTGTCGGTGCAGCGGAGGTCGCAAGTGTCCCACGCGGCAGCCAGTCACTCCTCACAGAGCCGCAAACCCCCACAGTCCCAACAGGAGAAGCAGCAGCGATGGCAGCAGTCCGCTCCCACGCACAGTGCCGGAATCGGTGTTATTCCCCTGCGACACATTTCCGAGGCTGCTGCTGAGTGCTGCAGCATTTAATTCCCTTTCCTGTGGATGGACCTCTTCCTCCTGGCCGTTTGTTTCTTCCGTTGGCTCCCCATTCTCACCAGAGCTCGCGCCCGCCTCAGGATTCACTGTGGGTCCATCTTGCCCCTCGCCCTCAGTGGTGGGAGTATTTGCATCTGCTGTGTCAGAGATACCCACAGGAATTTGCGGTGATCCATCCCCTTGCACCGTATTTCGAGCTTCTGTCTCCACCGCTGTGTTACCATCAGGCGAGGAAGCAGCATCCATCGTTTGAGTTCCATCGGGAGATGTTCCTGACGTCACCTGCACTACGGAGTCCTCTTCTGCTGAGGAAGTACTGACAGTGGACACCGCTGATGCGGATGCACCGCCACTGCCCGCACCTTTACTGCTCCCCATCGGCTGTCCCTGTTCCGTCAGCTGTGTTCCGGTAGGAGTAGAAGGAGTTTCGGTTTGCTCATCATTCGGGGTCACCAGAGGAGTGAGAGGTACAACGAAATCAGAAGAAACTGTTGAAGGCGTCGTCGGCTTCTCTTCCAATAGTTGAATTGGATCTTTATTCGGGTTAAAAGCGCCAATCTCTTCAGAGCTCAACGGGCGGTTGTACAGCAGGACGTTTTTCACGGTCACAGACACGTCTTCTTTGCTCCCTGCACTGTCTCCATCCCCTCCAATGTAGAAGTGTGAGATCTCTTTCGAATTCATATTTTCCAATTGACATTGCGCATCCTCACCCACACGCTCACCATCGACGTACGCGGAGCCCTGGTTGCCGTTCCTTAACAAAATTACCACGTGTTGAGTTTTCTCTTTCTCCCAAGTGCTGCCGTGTTCCCTGTTCTGTCCGCCACCGCACAGTAATATCCACTTCTTTTCACTGTCGTATGACAACTCCATAAGTTTTTTTTCTCCTTCACCGTCCAGACTCGCACCCAACAATGGAATATTACCCTCCGTCGGCTCACCGTCGATGGACACCGTCGCCACAAGAGTGAAGTTGTAGTTCGCAAAGTGGTACAGCTGATTCTCCCCCTGCCTGCCAACGGGCCACTCCGCTCCTGCGCCAAGAACTTTGAAAGTCACGCCGTTATCCGCCTTCTCCGCCCTAACATTCTCATTTACTGTGGCGTTCACTCCAAGGTACTCGTCCATCCATGTGTTATCAGAGAAGTTGTCGGACAAAAAGCCAACCAGCCCATCCGTGATCTTAACAGTAGTGCAGGCAGTGTCAGGTGAGGTAACCTCCTGAGCAAGTAAAGTGGCACACAGCTTGGAGACACGTTTGTCCACTTCCTTCCATGTCGCCAGCACCTCCTTCACCCGCTGCAGCTGCGCAGTCAGACGCACAGTAACCATATCATTTGATAGTTTGTGATTAACTTTCTTCTTCTTCTCGTACAGTGCAATCAACTCCTCCTGATTATTATTATCTCCACCTTTGTACAACAGGGAGCTGGTGGTGACGTCATCATCTTCCTCAGATACCGGCCCAATATCAACAATGTGCGTGTTGTCCGTCAGCCAAAGATGGAGTTCACCCTTTTCGTTTTTTTCTTCCTTACTCGAATACACCGGCAGAGTAACGAGAATCACTTTTTTATTATCATCAATCGTCGCTGTGATGAACCCGCTTTTAACGCCCTTCTCAGATCCCTCGTCGTTGCCCCACACGCGCGAGAGTGTCCCGAGTGCCTCCGTCCACGAGTCCCCCTTGTCACCGGACTCGTACACCCTGCGGCGGCCACCATCACACGCAGTCATCATCATGAGTTTTCCCTTCTCCCGCTCCACGACGGAGGGATCACCGCAGCCATCGGCAGACATCCCCTTCGACAGCTTCCAACTCTTATTATCCGGGAAGTATATGAACAGTGAGACAGTGTATCCCATCCCAGCTGTATTTTCTTCATCCGCCTTCCCCGTCCTATACTCCTCGGCTTCCATAGGGAACAAAAGTGTACCGTCCTCCATCTTAACACCCGATCCACCGCTCCCAAGCGGTGCTGTCACATATCCATATTGTTCGGTATTAGAAGTGATCGGGAGAGCGTCAACATCAGTCCAATAAATTCTTTTGTTACGGCCATCCTCATCAACACTGACGTTCCCTCTCGCCAGCAAAAGTCCCCATTCATCCGTTATATCGTCCTCAGCAGCAATGGCAACTGCACGGTCGTACATTCCAGCAAGCATGTAAACATCACTTCCATGCACAACTGTTGTTGGTTTATCCACATGTACTGGCGCTCCGCTTTCGAAGCCAGACCGATCCACTGCCTGGTCGGGGCATCCCTCTTTTCCAGAAGGACATTCCCCCAGTACTTGTGTCTTCATTTTATTTTTATCCAACTCCTTGCTTGTTTGTTTATCAGTCCACTCCAGGAGCTCCGAGGCAATGCCAGCAAAAACGCCTCCTACCTCCTTCGTGAACAGCGCCTCGGCAACGGCAAACACATCACCATTCACCTGAACAAGACTGGGAAAAAAGAGCAAATTCACCGTTCCCTCATCTGTCGTGTCTCTCCAAACAAACAATTTCCTCTTTGGAATTTCCGAATCTGTCAGCGTCTTCTCAGTGGATGCAGCCCCACCAGTGTTGCAGCACATCATCACAAAGAGGAGCAGCACCGCGGAAGTAAACACACGCCGGGACATGTTGGGCCTCTGCCGCTCACTCTCTCTCCCTTCCCTCCTCCTGCCGCTGGATCCGGTCACGCGGCGACGGTTGTGTGTGCGGGGTGCCTTGACAGCAGCAACACGTGAGAGCATATAAATATGTGTGTGTGGGCGGTGTGTGTGCTGTTGGTCCTTTCAGAGCCTTCGAATTTCACAGTAGCGATTCGCGTTTGGTATTAACTTCCTTCTTGGAGGGGAGCAACAGACAGCAGCGGCAGAAAGACAGCACAACAGCAGTGCACACCGCCACCACTCACAGCGAACCACAAAATCACCATCCCCACAGCCATTACTCACCAGCACCTCTCAACAGCATAAAAAAATTAAGAAAAAAAAATGAGCAGCCTCCCAATGGGGACCGCAGGCCACGGTCCTGCAAATAAGCCAAGCGACAGGGAGCCACGAGTGCAGTGAGGAATACCAGAGTTGCACTGCAACGGCACGGCGGCGTGACACCCCATGGGGAGCATCGATGCAGACCAGCAACACCGACTGCAAGAAGAGTTGCTTCTCCCGCTGAGCAAAAAGGAAAAACAGCCTCAGCAGCCCAATAGTGAGAGGTCGCCTGCACCTCCTCGCAGAACCTGCAAGCTCTGGAGGCGAAAAGATGCAGATGACGCTCTGCTGCACGCATGACGACCGTCGCACCCTTCACAATGGCAATCGCATCCTGTGGCACCACACGCCGCAGCGGATGCGCACAGTCTCCGTCTCCCTCACTCCTGCCCCTCTCACTGAATACACATTGGTGGCCGTGGCACACTCACCGACATGTCAGAAATCACTTGTTTTTCTTCTTCCCCCGCACATCGCACAGCAGCACCGCCAAACGCATTTCACTCCTCCCTTCGCGGATTCTCCTCAGACACGCCTCCCGCCACATAAATCAACCCACAGGCACGCAGTTCGTAAACATCACGCTGCTGCCCCGCGTGATGGAGCCGCACGCACACCAAAATGGCACCCCGCTACTCGGCGCAAGCAGCGTCTGGACACACAAAACAGGTTGCCCCAGCAAACGACAGCTCCCTCCAAGCAGTGAGGCAGGACTCGTCAGCAACAATCAAACAATCAGCCCTTTGTCTCCTCCTGCCGCCATGCACAAGGTTCTGCCCGCCCCATACATCCTCCGTGGGGCCCGGACTCTCAATGAGCAGACAACACACTATGCGTTCCTCGACTCAACGAGAAGCCCATTGACAATTCTCAGGCAGTCGTCTCCCCGGGCTATGCATGAGGAGCACCACGGCAAGAATGCACAGGAGCTTATATGCAGAAACCCTCAACTCATTCCGCGTCAATGAAGAGTGTGGCACCAGACATGCGTTTCACAACAATGTCGACTTGTTCTTCCCTGAGAAGTCTCCAATACACATCGCACGTGATCAGAGTAAATAAAAAAGCAACGCCTCCAGTCAAACTGTCATTCCGCGGTGGAGATCAAAGCACAGTCCAAAAAAATGCCGCAAATCATCATGTATTCCACACAGACCATCCGCGACTCATGAGGCAAATGCACAGCACAGAAGAAGAGTCATGCTCACAAACACGCAACGCACAGACAAAGAGGGAGTTGGGAGAAGCAGCACTAGAGAAACCCCAGCCAACGACAAAAGAGCTCGTGGGTACTACGTCCAAAGCCATTCTTTGTGAATGCAAATGACAATAACAACAAACAACGTGAAGCACCTGTCAGGCGCCACAATATGGGCCACAGACACCACCCACTCACCCATTCACTCTTCCTCCTCCCAATGGTGTGGCCCTCCTTCACCTCCACAAACAGGTTTGCCTCTCAGTCATGCGAGCCTCTAACGCAAGCACTCAAGGTGCGTTTCGGTAATCCAAAAGCCAACACCTCTGACCAACAGAGGAAATGCTCGCAGAGGCCACACGGCTCCTCAACGCAGCCTCAAGCCCTCCTCACGACTCTTCAATGCGGTGGAGAAGAATACAGACGGCTCTCGTGCCACAGATGGCAGCCAATGGGAACGGTGTCCACATGCAGAGAATGCCAGGTTGTGAAACAGGAGAGGCAAGAGGAGTGCTCGCAGTGGACGTCACCTGCCACGTCTGAAGTGCATCGTCTCATTCGTGCAGCGGGGAACCAACGACACGGTTGATGCGGTGGCTGCCCGTGTATGCACCTCACACTCGGGCCAATGAACGCCTCAAGGAACATCCTGCCAAAAGTATACAAATCGCTGTGCAAACAGTAGCAATTCTTGCCAACGTCCCAGCGGCCGCTCTTTTGGCGAGGCTCCGCTCTCCTTCTTCCTTTTCTCCCGTGTGCCACCCTCGTATGGAATGAAAACGCTCTCCACGACAGGTGTCATCAAGTGCCTCCAAAGCATAAAAAGAATATCTACAGGGGCCGCTGGCCGGATCCTAAGTTTATAAATAACAGAAACCAAACAAGATAGGAATAAGAAATGAACGAATGGAATAAAAATGGGGATTCACCGTATCCTCAAGGTCTAGCAACAAGTAAGTGTACATTAATGTATGCATACTTTGTTAGTCACCATCGTGACCCAATCACTCTATTCGGATTGGACATATATATATGTAGGTGTGTGTATTCATAACTTAAGAAGTGGCAGACTTTGGGCTCCTCCAGCCACAAGAACCCGCCGCAAGGGTGTGAACCAAAAAGGGAACGAGTGGGAAAATAAGAAATAAAAAGTTAGTAAAAAATCCTTCTTGCCGCTATCGTCTCCCTGCTCCCTTCAATCACCGTCTTCCAAAAGTATTCATGCGATAGGAAAAGGATCGTACAGAAATATCTCCGTTTTCTCAGGGCATATTTATTTAGGCGGCCAGTCTCTCCCGTGAGCATCCTCCTCGCAAGCTCCTAATAAAAACATAAAGATATATTTCTGTGGGGTTCTTTTCCTATCGCATGAATACTTTTGGAAGACGTTGATTGATGCAACCGAAGGAACCGATAACGTCAAGACGAATGTTTTAATTCTTTTTATTTTATTTTTTCCATCCCAGTAACCTTCTTTTTTAAGTCCCCACCCTTGCGACGGTGTCTGATGGCTGGAGGACCCCAAAGTCTGCCAATTCGTAAATAAGAAATATATTTATGTATGTATGCATCCAATCCGAATGCAGCGTTCAACATGTCGCGAGAGTGGGGCCACCATAATGCATAAATATATAAATATGCGGAGCAAACAGCGAGGATTTGGCGAACCCACTGCCTCTCCATTGGCTCATTCCTCCTTCCCGTCGTATTTTATTCCTTTAGAAAATTTGAAGATCCGGCCAGCAGCCCAGACGAGTATTTCTTCCTTTCGCTTTCCTGTTTGCGTGTGTGCCACAGGCACGGTTTGATTCAAGTGGCATTGGTGCCTCCACGCCATCACATCCTTCTGCTGCCGCATTTGCGGGGGAATTGGGTTTGGGCATCCAGAGCACACACACACACACACACACACACATCCGCAGAAAAACCATAACTTGCATCCCTCCCATCCGCAGCCAAAAAGGCTCCTCCATTGAGCCACACGGAGACAGGGTCAAGGGGGAATTAGTTTAATTTCTCTCTTTATTGGTGGCTGCTACGCGAAGCAACAGCAGTCGGGGAAAAAAAAGCAGGGAACAAAAGTGAACAAATAGGTATGACAAGGAAACACCCCATTTTTTCCTTTTTTACTTCGTCCGGCAACGGTGCACGTTGCCTGTGAAATTTGGTGCGCACGACGGCAGGGGGTGCGGCCCCCGTTCGGTGAGAAGAGCATTAAAAGCCGTGTCGCGCCCTCGCGCCGCCTCAACTTCACACCGGACTCCAACGTGAGGGCCCCAGCAGCACTAGACTCCGGAAATGACTTCACAGCAGCCTCTACTAGAATTGGGGTGGCCTTTATCCAACGTTGACGCATGAAATACGTTCAATGCGGCCACAAGAAAAATAACGGAGGCGTTTGCCGCCGCGTAGTTGAAGGAAATGTCATCGCAGAGCAACGCCTCCACTAGAAGACGAATGGAATCCTGTCGAGTGGACGTGAAACTCGTCAGGCTGGGGTACGTGGGCACATTAACAGCCCGGTAAAACAACTCCTCAAAGACAACGTAGTATACACGTGAGGAGAGAAGAACACGTGGCAGGGCCACGTTGTACGATAGGCCTATCCCTCGCAGCCGCTCTCGTGCCAAGTAATCAAAGGAACGATTGCATTGACACCGCTCCATTGTTTTGCCGCAGTCCACAACGGCCCGCACGTCCATCGCCACAAGCAAATAGGGGGATCGCAACCAAATTGAAAACTTGCACCGTGCCGCATCATACAACACTTTCATGTCATCGTCGATGTTGAACACAGCTTCGGTGCGGAGAAGAGAGGCGACAAGCCAGCGATTCGCCACGGAATTGGATGGTTGCGGCACAATTCGCAGGTACGGGGCATGTCCAGTGCCACTGCATGCTGGTCGATGCCTTGTGTCGTACCTCGACTTCAACGCAAGCAATTCGTCTGGCATTTTTTCCTTCATGCCATTCCACACGAGCAGCACTTCATGGACAATACTCTCACCCCTCGGCCAATCATACAGAGTGGCATTCAAAACATGCAACAAACGATCTCTTCGCCACGTCATTGGAAATGACACCACCACTATTGTTGGGGAGTCCTCATGAATGTTGCCTTGAGCGGCAATAAGGGCGATCACTTTGCTCACCCTCGGCTGCGACGGCAGAGCAGGCTCAGGATCCATTTGTAATGCCCACACAATGAAAGGAAAAGTAAGAAGCGCCAACACGAGAAGAGCAGATAGAACGCAATACGCCAACAAAGCCAAGATGGGCACGTCGCCGCCTCATCCTCACACCCTGAGAAGAATAAAAAGGAAGAAGAAGAAGAGACTCCGTCAAACCCTCCCCAACACTTCTTCTCTAATGCCGTGTGGAACTAATAATGAAGACGGGAGAGTCAAGACACACATGTGTATAAATGCACACATAAATATATGCAATGTATATATTATATATGCGGTATGTACATGTATCCCTCTTTCCTCCTTCCTATCCTCCTCCTATGCATTACTTGTTTGTATTTCCTTACTATCCCTCTCGACCACGTTTACTACCCTTCCAGCCTGTGTACACATATTCGGTCCATCATTTCCCACTCCACGTTACTTTCATTCCTCCCTTCTATTGTTGTGTGACCCTTTCCTTTCCTCCGTCCTGGTGAGGAATAGATGGATACCTCATCCGCCGCACACACACACAGGGAGTGGGAGGGATAACCGCCGTGCAGTCCCTCCGTGGCCCCCATCTCCCCACCGCCGCGGAGGGAGGCAGCAGCCGCACACAGCACCGGCATCGCCGAGGTGAGCGGTGCCGCCGCAGCGCCCTAACAATGCATTTTTGCCTGTGCCTTACCACCCGCACCCGCAGCAACAAAATAAAAAAGTGAAAAGCATGCCAGAACACAGCCACAAGAGGAGTTCGACGGCTGGGCAAAAGACGGGGCGGCGGGTGGCGTCCCACACTCACAAATGGAGCACGGCGCACACCATCCGCTCCCCTCCGAGTGCACTCAGCAGGCCGGCGCCCAGTCACCCTCGTGCCCTCGCAATGGGGACCACAAACAATCGTCGTCGCGAAACATCGGTGCCTCTAGCAGGAAAGAAAGCAGAATAAATGAGGGCATGTCAGAAGCACAATCAGCAGAGTAACACTCAACGGGAAACAGAGACACAAAGTGACAGCAGATACGGTAACTGCAGAAACACGCCGCAGGGAATCACAAAAAACAAAAAAAAAAAAACAAACGAAACACAAAAAAAAGGATGAGAGTTTCGCAAGATCCCCGGAAAAAAAATTTAATTTGGCAAACACTTCATGTGCCATGCAGCACAAGGCGATCGGGTGCTTGCACATATTACCTGCACAAAAGAAAAACGTCATAATAAAGAAAGATCGCATTATTCCACTACCACACACAACATTGCTCACACTTCATGCGGCATCCGGCCTGTTCCTCCAATCCTTCCTTCATGCAGTCCGTGGGACGCACAGCAATGAGGCCGGCACCGCGTGTGGGCAACAAACGACAGAAAAAAAAAGAGCGGGAAACAAGTCCCTCATGACAGTGTGCAGCAACCGACCATTAAATAAAGGAACAGCAAGGATACATATCATTCCAGGAAAACAACAAAACCAACAAAGTAAAATGTAAATAATAAAAGAAAACACGCAGGCAACGCGGCAAATGTTCTCCGTGAGGAGTCGCAATTCCACACTCTTTGGCTCAAAAGACCGCCACAACACCACACAATCCCAGAAGAAGCAGCAGCAACACCCAATACACGCGCACACGCACAGTGCCGTCAACAGTTAACTCTCGCAGTGTCAATTTCGCGTCGTAGAGCAGGGCAAAGCAGTCGTCGGGACTCACGCCGCTCCCGGAATACTGCGCGGTGAATTTTCGCAATAGGGGTTTTTTCTCGTGTCCAGAGGCATTGCGTTGACTCAATCCACCCGCATCAGCCTCAGCAACAAATCCACTGCCCGCAACGCTACTTTCTAAAGAAAGTAGTTTTGTGTCCGGTGGCGCTGCGCTCATTCACCTCGTCCGTGCTATCCGCAGCAACGTGTTCCCTGCCGCCATAAGTGACAGACATGATCCCGGATGCATTCGGCGCCACTAATATTTTCGGACCGTTGGCAAAGGAAAGCCTCTTCGTGGATGCATTCGGGACCATCATTTCGTTCGGATTGCTGGCAAACTCAGGCTTCGTCTCGGACATGTTGGTCGCCGTGTTGGATGCGGGACTCGGATCGACAGTGTTGAGTGGTCAGCCGCCGCAGACTGTCGCCAATCCTCGTGTTGACGTGACGGCTCAGCATTCACTTGCGGCGCAGTTGTCCCACCAGATTTTGTGTCATCCTTCCCTTCACGGGGTGGCGGCAACTGACAGATGCCCGTCCGGTCAGCATCGCCGCTCCGTGCAGGCGGATGGATGGTTCCATCGGGGGAAAATTGACGCCACCACAATTCATAAGGGCCGGCGTATTTATGTGTCGTCACATTCATCGTGAAGGCAACGGTGGCCCCTTCCTCTTCCGTTGCACAGTTGGCAGCACAGTTGCTACATGTGTGCACCGCATTGGCCACATGGCACACAGCACCCAGCTCACCATTCCTGCTATGCATGCGCACATCAAAGCCACTGAAAGTATAATTCTCACAGTCAGCCTCAGCACCGGCAGCAGAACACTTCTTCCACGCCCACACACACGCACATAGAAACACGCGATAGCTCGGGCTGCCGTCACTCGGAGCACACGGCACATCCACCGGCACAACCACCGCATCCGCATCACCAGATACATGTCCAGCACTCCCAGCTGCCGTCACACACACAGAATTGCAGCAGCAGCACGAGAGCGCAGGGACCAACACGGCGCACACCACACGGAGTCGCACCGTCACCATCGTCACCATCGCAGTCATCGTCACCCGCAGTGGAGTCGCTGGAGTCAGTGAGCTGATCCGTGAGCCAGAAGGAAAAGGAATGGAACAGGAGGGAGAGGGACGGAGTGCAGCGGATACGGCGAGAGAGAGCGCAGACAACATGAGGAGAGAGCAGCAGGCCCAGCCGCACAGTTCACACACCACGAGACGGCATCCACGCAACGAAGGCACACAACGCCAGCAGCCACCCACCATGCAGGAGGAGAAGACATCCACCACCATCTCCCCCAGCTCATCTCTACAGCTCCAGGGAAATGGCAAAAACCCGCGGCCACCACACAACGCACACGGAGCGAGCACCCACCACACAACGCACACGCGCAAGCGAACCCTCATCCATCCATGACGCGGCAACAAAAATTCCAGCCATCCCGCCCTCAATGGGACACGGAGCCCAACTCAACGCAGTCACAAGCGGTGCACCACACCCGCAGGAAAAGAGACTCGGGCTGCGCACTCCCTCTCCTCCCTTCTCCTCATGGCCACGGAAGAAGACAACAGCCGCCACACGCAACTGCCAGCATGCACTGCAAAAGGAGCATTCAAATCCACTGCAATGTGCATCTTGTGTGTGTGTGTGTGTGCCTGCGGAAACACAAAGCAAAGAAGTAGAAAAGAGGGAGCAGAGTATGTGGAGAGACGCACAACAAAAATGTGCAGCAGAGACGCATGGCGGAAACAACAAGAAGAGGACCGCTCAAACTCATGACTGCACTGCCGCCCAAGCAGCGGCAACCCACACAAGATTTATTTAAAAAGAAAACCATCCCCTTCGTCTTATATAAACCCCATCACACAAAATAATTATAAATAAAAAAGAAATCGTCCATTACTGTTCCACACAAATTTAAGAATCGCCTGGCTGCCGTGTGGCCACACCAAACTGTCTGTATATATTTTGCCCACAAGAGAAAATTGAAAAGATGGTTGCGTGTGTTTCAACCGTCTGACCCTCCATGTGTCCGCACATCGTTTATATTTCATGGGGTCATCTGCGTGTTGCTGCTCCCCTCAGCCCTTTCATCGGCGTGCGAGTGCGGCCCGCAGAGCACAGTCACTCGTGTGTGTGGGGACTGAGAGAAGCACGCAGACATGACGGGAGTCGCGTCTCTCCATCGGGGGAGTGAGCGCAGCAAAAGAAAAGAAAAAAATCATCAGGAGGGAGAGAAATGCTGACGGGACTGCCAGCGCGTGAAATGAACACGAAAAGCAAAAGAAAAAAAAACACGGCGGCAGGGTGTGGCTGTGTGTGTGTGGCGCTGCGGGTGTCTGCCCGCCCTGGCCGCAAAGAAAACAAAACAAGAGGGAAAGAAATGTGTGCTCCGCCCCACAGGCCCTCGTCGCACGCCCACACGTCACGGCTCCCTCAGCGCGCCGTTCGTCGCGGCCCCTCCTCATGCGTGCAGCAGGCGAGGCGCACAGGGCCGTCGTCATGAGCGTGTCGGTGGGCGTGCGAGTGGAGCAGTTGGGCGGGAAACACACGGCACCCCTCACAGGAGGAGTGCAGCAAAAAAACAATTAAAGAGGGAAGAGTAGAAAAGAAAAAAAACGTCCATAGTGATTGCCCCCAATAGCAAAAAAAAAAGAGAAGGAATGGGGGAGTGAGAGACAAAAAAAGAAAAAAAAATGAAATAAAAGAAGAAAAAAACAATAAAATATTTAAAAGCAAACAAGCAAAAAGAATTTTAAAAGAGTTACGGTGCTCCGCCCATGCAGCCAGGCAGGACGGCAGCGGTGCGTGTCGTGCAAAAGAGAACACCAACGGGCCTGCATGGGTGTGCATGCAATATATACAATGGGCACATTATGTGTGTGCTTCGTGGGGTGAGGTGAGGGCGAGAGTCCATGCAAGGGGACACACACACACACAGAGTGAGTGAAGGACGAGTGTGTGTGTGGGCGGTGCACGGCTCTCTCTCCCTCACTCTCACGCGGCCACCACCGCAGCAGCAGCCGCACACGCAACAACAAGAAGAAGCAAAAGAGGGGAGGTGGTGTGGGAGACCGCGGTGCTGCCGTCACTGTCGCCAGAATTCACCGTGGCGGCTTTTATACCCGCAACTTCGACCGGTGTTTCCTTCGGATTATTATCTTTATTTTTATCTTGGTTTTCCTCTGTCCCGGCAACATCGGATTCCGGTGCATTGTTCGGAATATCTTCTCCAGTGCCCTTGTTCGTTTCGTTATCACCATTATCGCTGGCTTCCGGCGGTGTTTTTTTGGTTGCTTCGGTCTGACCGTTAGACGCTTCATTCTGTTTGGTGTCTGCGGTGGTGACAGTGTCCTCTTCTGCCAAATCTTTGGTTGGCTTCATGCTCTCTGAGGTTTCTTCTGAATTTGGCACCGGCATGTCATCTGCACCGTCAGGTTGTCCTTCCACAGGCAGTGATGGTGGTGGATCTGTTGGTTTTGCCGTTGATGCTCCCGGTGGTGCTACCGCTGATGCTGTCGGTTCCTCTTCCGATGGTGTTCTCAAATTTCCTTCCCTTCCCGGTACTTCTGGAACTGATACTTTCACTGAAGTTACCGCAGCAGACGACAAGCTGGTTTGTGGTTTTGGGCAATTAGCAACATCATCTGGTTTTCCAGCATACTCTTTGCAAATACCCTCAACTTTAAGGTCTTTATTTTCCATGACAGTCTCGCCGTAAACATCATAGCAAAGATCCTTCATCGCATTATGAACACAACAATTCACAGCTGACTCATCAAAATTCCCATCCTTAAATTTTGCCTTGCACTCGTTCTTCAGCAGTTCATGCCACTTAAGAAACAAATCCTCAGGCCAAGCACTTTGGACAGTGGTAGCACCAGGCAACGACGACTCCATGGCCGCAGCACCGCACCACAGCACGCAGAGGGCACACACCAGCAGCACACGGCCAGTCATCATCATCGCCATCACTCCTGTCACTTGCGTGTAGCCTTCAGCACAAACTAACACCCCGTCAACGCAGAGTGAAAGCAAAAAGAGAGACAAGTCACACAACCACACACCGTCCCATCCAGCAATGAGAGTCACGCACCACCACCACAACAATTAGGTGCACGCGGTTCAACAACAATCAAAATAAAAGAAAAGCGCTCCTCGCCGTGCACCGTTCCTCACACTCCCACAGTCACTGTTACTGTTATTCCCTCTCCTCAGACCCTCACAGGCACACCACGCTCACTTTAACACGCGCCCCTCCAGCACAGGCCTCGGGATCGTCGGGCCCTTACGTGAACAGGCAGTCCGTCAAGCGCTCCCGCTGTGCCGCAACGTCCGCCACCTCCTCCCTCAGTCCAGCAGCTCCGTTTCCTCCACGTCCCTCACAATCGCCGGCATGCCCCGGCCGCGCAAAGCACACAGCGCCACAATGTCGTGCCGCCTCTCCTCCACAATCATGAGCGCAACGCCCAACGCGTACTGGCGCACGTGCTCCATGCGCTGCAACCACACGTGGATCAGGTTGGCTGTCACGCACTGCATCTTGTTGTCCTCGTTGTGCTTGGATCAGACCCTCACATCTTCTCAATCCACGGCCTGGTGCTGCAAGAGGCTGCCGAGTGGTGCCACGTGTGTGAAAGACGCAAAAGTGGGGAAACAACGGCCACGCTCACTCCATCACACATCTCCACTCCCTCCACTCTCCCGCACACAAGGGCGGTGTCATGGGGAAGAGAAGCCCGCCGCACAGCGCATGCACGAGGGCACATGCAATAGCAACGCCATCCACATCGCACCGCAACAGAGGGCCATGCGCACAGCAAAAACACGGCGGCAGTGATAGGGACGAGGCGAATAAAAGTACATACCGCAGTCCTTCAGTTCTGTCTTCCACTTTGAATCATTTTCCACGGCAACCGGTCCAAGAGAAAACGTGCGGTTGTTGTCCGTGACCCAAAGTCAGAGCGCAGTGGCCCTTTTCTTCCCCGAGGCATGCCCTCCCTGAGTGCACAGCATGACCCTCCTTCCTTCCCTCAATGGTTGCGGTGATGAGGGCATCCACATGCAGGCTTTCCTTCTGAGGGACTCCTGATCGTGCTTTGACCCCACACGCGCGAGAGTGTCCCGATGGCCTCCGTCCACGCTGTCCCCATGTCACGCGACTCGCACACCCTCTGGCCATTCTCGCAGTCAACAATCATGAGAAGTGATCCCTCCCATTTGGTGACGCGGGGTTAAGGCATTCCGCACGGGAAATGTCCTCAGAGAGCGCCCAGGCACTGCCGTTTTCCGTCGAGCAAATGATCATGGAGCAAACGTCTTCTGCTTTACTCTTCGCCATCAGAGGAAACACAGGCGTGCCATCCTCCATCACAACACCTGCGCCACCAGAAGCAATGAACTCCGTCCAGTCGCCTTCGTGAGAAGCAGAAGAGATCCGTTTCGAGAGTGGTTTGGGGTCGCCCCATTCGATCCGTCCTCTCTGCTTGCCACCCGTGGGATTCGTGACATCACCCACAACCAGTTTCAGCTCCAAGCCGCCCTCCCTCCAACACCCACCCTCGTAGGACACATCAGAGCCTCCCGCAAGAGGAAACACTCCGTTGCCCTTCGTGATTGTTGTGGGGCGGAGCACAACACCCAAACTCTCCTCTCCCTCCGCTGCACAAAGCACAGTGTGTGCCCTCCATGTATCCTTTATTGACCTCACCAACAAGAGTGGACCAATTCCACGCAGAGTCAATGCACCCCGCAACCACATCAGAAGAAAAGGGCTTAATTAATTGACCACCTTGATATTCGGCATCCATGTGACCCTCGGCGAAAGCAGCAATTACTCCACCAGCACTGACGAGTGAGGGTGTAACAAATGAATCCCTCGTCGTAACTGGAACAACCCCATCCTTCGGCTGCACCAGCGTCGTCTGCAGCACAAATAGATCGACCCCCGCCGGTTCCTGAACACGTCGTAAATCAATCACGCCATTATTCTCCTTTGCAGGCGTTGCTCCCCAATTGCCGCAGCACATCATCACAAAGAGGAAAAGCAGCACCGCTGAATAAAAGAGGTGCCGGGACATGTTGGGCCTCTGCGGCTCACTCTCTCCTCCTTCCGCTGGATCCGGCCACGCGGCGACGGTTGTGTGTGCGGGGTGCCTTCACTGCAGCAACACGTGAGAGCATATAAATATGTGTGTGTGGGCGGTGTGTGTGCTGTTGGTCCTTTCAGTGCCTTCGAATTTCACAGTAGCGTTTAGCGCTTGGTCGTAGCTTCCTTCGTAGCCTGAGTGTGCTTGTGTGCAAGAAATCAAATTAATATTTAAAAAGCATCAAAAATGAACGTGGCAGAGGAGTGGGTGGCGCCACCAGCCACAGTGTAACACATCCGCTTCGTCGTAACCTCTACAGTAATTACTCTCACCGTCCACAACGGCTCAAGCACTGTGAGGCCACACACAGAAGCATAGACATTGACGTTTGCGCACGGGCCAATACACCCTCCGGCAAACAGCACCAACCAACAGACAGCCAGCAGAAATTAAGTGCGAGCAGAATCCCAAGTGCTGCAGGATCCTTGCAAGCAGCGCTCTCTCACTGCAGGGCCTTTAAAGCGTTCCTCGCTGCAACATCCCCCACCACCCCCTCGGCGTGTCGGTGGATTTTCCCGTTCACCGGAAGAAACACGGCGGGATGCTTCGGCAGTGGTCGAAGACACACAGAGTGCGCCGTCGACGCGAGCAACAAGCGCAGACCCTCGTGAAGTGCGATCCCACAACCGCGATCCCTCCATTTACTCTCCTGGACGTGGAGGAGGCATGAAATGTCCTCTTCTCTACAGTAGTCCTGAAACGCAAAAAAAAATCCGCAGGACATCCCGTGCAGCCACGGCCTCCTCAGCAGCCTGACAGTCCACGCCGTCGCACCGCTCCTCAAGAGGTCGCCAGGCCCGGTAAGGCAAGCAAAAGGGGAGCAGCAATTTGGTCAGCGCGCTCAGAAAAATGAGGCGCAGCAGTCGGGTAAGTGCGGCCCATCCACGTCCTCCCCCTCAACAGACCCACCACACAGTCGAATCACACACCCGAAAAGAGCCGTGGCGTCCGACGAAATAGCACGCACAATAACACCTCGTGCTCTCCTCAATGTAGTGTCGTGGCACACACGAGGCATCACAGGAAGGGCAAATAGTTGCATTCCATCGGCATAAGCACGGAAATAAAGCGCGCATTCTGCCCCTGTGAACTCCCATCCAAATCGTCTCAACCACAGAGTTTGTGTCGCCGACCCTCAGGAAGGGCTGATGCATCAACTGCCGCTGAACGATCCCCCGGCGATGAAACAAAAAGAGCCACCGTCTCTCAAGGTTCGTCATCACCCATTCCCCCCATTGAGGGAAGAAAACGCAAAGTGACGCTGTGGGCGTGTCTAGCTGACAGAAATGGAGAAATTGACTCCGGCCGCGGAACAAATTAAACGGATCCTACTCCCGAATCCTTCAAAGAGACCGGTCGGTCAGCTGCCGAGGTTGACGGCGCGGAGGACAACACCCTGAATGTATGGAGCACCGCAGCAACCCAAATATATTCTGCAATATCCGCGGTCAGTTCATGTAAGTACAAAGAAGGGACAGCAAATTCAAGGGGGCGTGTGAACCTGTCAGTGATCACCCGCGCCGGAGGATCGCCACTCCCACCCTCCAAGGGCACCTCAACGACGTCAAATATTTCCACTGCATGGCACCCACAACACAATCGCGTGGCATAAACTACCGCCTTGCAGCACCCCATGCAGTGCGGCAATCGAAAACCGTCTCGAACACGGCGTGCGACAAAGGTGCCGAAAGAAGGTGCAGCAAATACCCTCCACATCTCAGCAGTTCCAATCATCCAGTAAAAGGCAGGAGCACCAGACAGTACCCACGGACTCACCAAATATGGCGTCAAAAGGCAGCGAGATGCTAGATGCCGAAAGGCTCGCATTTCTTCCCCCGTGACACTTCCACGGATGAATACAACTGCCGTGCCCTGCGGCCTCTCGACCCCTTCGAGACAACGTTGCGGCCACATGGCGACGGCTCAATGTGGCTGGCGATCAGATCCAGTCGCCGCGGCAAAACAGTACAGAAAGTAGGGCGGTGAGCCCGCACATCCGCCCCTTTTTTGCCTGCCTCCACCGCAAGAGTGAAACTCGTCTTCCCAACAGCCGCGCTTCGGGTGACTGAAACAAATGCCCTCACACCGGCGATGACATCTGCAAGCGCCTGTAATTCCTCAACACCGCCCGTCAAAAAAAAAACCAACTGGCACTCAAACTCTGCAGCCACACATCCCTCGTAACCATTTGCAAACTCGTTGTCCAGCAGAAACACCCGAACAACATAACAAGAAGACCGTGCATTGCTGGCAAGGGACAAGAGCACGTTGCTTTCATCCTGCAACGGAGGATTATGCCTCCTGCGTAACGCGGCCACAAGTACGCGGTGCGCCAACACCGAAGCGGTGGGCATGTTGCCCCATGACCCTCCCCCTCCACAGGGGTCCAAGAAGTGCAACAGACCATCCTCTCACCAAAGAAAAAGCCCAATGGAGCAGACACTGCAGTGTGCGGACCACCCAGCAGGAACACTCTCAGAGAACGAATGCTCTTGAATGCCCTTCAGAAGGGGCCAGCGGGTTGGCCGTGAAGCCAACAAACACCGGAGAGCCACCTGCTCTGCACGCATCCAATGACGCAATTGGGAGCGCAATGTTGCAGGGCACATCAACCACCCTGTTCTCGTCTCCGTCTGTGCGGGCACGACGGTCCTGCCATCATCCTTCGCCCTCACAAATTATTCCACAGGGTCCTTTGAACCGGAGATCACCACACGGCAATATGCCACCGGAGGAGTGCTCTCCATACCGCACAAAATAAAATGTCCCCCACTTCGAAAACCGCAGTGAAAACGGGCATAACGATGAGCAACACGAGGGTTG